GTAACTTGCGAAACACTGCAATTTTATTTTTCTCTTCCATCCCAGAAGCAGGTGAGTGGAATGTTTTAGGGTCAAAAAAAAATACCCCCCCCCAAAAAAAAAAAAGAATCGGGAAGCCTATTTACAAGCACAGTCAAGGTCTGTGCTTATCCTTCCATGGGTCCGGGCCCCAGATGCCTCCACAGCCAGTCTTCTTCCTCCTGACTTTATCTTCGCTCTCTGCGCACTGTGCAGGCCATGCTACCTCCATCTCTGATGCATCCTTTTCAAAGATTCCCTTATTTCTTCGCTTCTCATCTTCACCTTGAAACAGCTGTACTGTGGTCAGTTTGCTCGTGCCCCTCACCCGTGCCTTCTCCATGAGGGCATACACCATTGCCAGACGCCCTGTAAAAGCCCTGTAAAATGTGTTGGGCCCCGCGACGGCCCCGGCTCAGCAGGCAGAATTTAAGCAGAAAGAATGAGCAAAGGGACAAGGCCACTCCCCGGCAGGGGCAACAGCCCCCAAGGAAAGGAGCACCAGTTCCCCTTCACCCTTGCCATGACCTTGGCATTCAAGGCCCTTCCACCTTGCCCTCCCTGTTCCTCAGCTCTGGCCATTGGGGACTTGTGAACCTTTGAGAGACATCCCAGCCGCGGCCCCCGCCCCCCAGGGAAAGGTCTGCACACGTGCCCCTGCCTTTGGAGCGTGTGCCCAGGTCTCTGTGCAGCGCCCATGCTCTGCTGGGAGCTCGCGGCTGGGGCTCAGGCACTGGCTCTCCGAGGGCCCCGCAGGAATTTTTTGGCTGCCACACATTCCGTGTCAAGTCAGACCATCCCCATCACTCCATTTTCCTGTCTTCCTGGAATGCAACAATTTTACTTATGTGAATGCAGGAGAAAGCTGACAACCATCTGTAGGTAAAAACTGGCTTTGGCTGGGGCTGCCCAGACTCCAGAGCCTTCCCTGAGGAACCGGGTGGTGCTGGGGCTCTAGTCCCTGCACAGACCGTCCTGGAGCCTTGCTCTCCCTGTGCCCCCTGCACTCCCCAGCAGCCATCCCTCTGGCGTGGGTCGGGGTGGGTGTTTTACACAGTTGCCCGCAAGGCCTCTCCACAAGGCCTCACCTGACAGAGAGAAAAGGGCCTTCACAGCTGAGCCACCAGCCGGGCTCCCTGACAACTCCCCGGCCCAGTTTCTGCCTGCACCTCATCCTGGGTCCCTCCAACTTGGAAAGGACCCCTCAGGGACCTGCCCCAGCCCTGGCCACACTGCCAGCCCCGCTCCGTGTGGCTCTCTAAGCTGCAGTTTCCTTCAGGACCCAGGCCATTGTACCCCGGGTCCCAGATACTGCCACACGGACTTTTCGGGCCCTGCATCAATTCCTTCAACTTGAGAAAACCAACAGGGCGGAATGTACTCCTTGGAATAAAGGTGAAAGGTGGATTTTAAAATGCCAGAGTCTCCAAGAAACCCAAAGACAACTTGAAAACTTCTGATCAGAGGTGGGTGGCTGGCGCGCCTGGCGTCGTGGGCATGCGACCCGAGCAGTCACGCAGGACCCGCACTCGGGCCTGCACGCAGCTTAGTGCCTTGCGGCCTCCGTCTCCGACCTCCGAGTGCTCTCTGGAAGGGAGGCCCTGCGTGTCTGTGCCAGTCCTGGTGGCAGGTTGTGAGGGCCCCTCCGAGGACACTGTCCCAGGAGGCCGCATCGGGAAGGAGCTGGCTGGCTGCTCACGCCGCAGGGGCTCAAGAGGTGCCCGCAACTGCTCTGGGGGGGCCTGAAGGCCCTTGGGAAAACTTGGGGTCAGGTCCGAGCCCCCTGGCATGTGCCCGTGGGCTCCCCTTCCCACCTGTGTGGTCACGCCTGCAGGAAACACTACACCTCTTCACCCCAACTTTCCATCCCAAACTGAACCCCAAAATGGACAGCTTCAGAGGCACAAAACTAGAGGGTGGCCCAAGCCCAGAACGCTCTCCGCCCCGCGGTGGGGAGACCATCACCAGTGCCCTGTGGGCCGTCCCCAGCTGGCGAGGCTTCGGGGTGTCATCTGCAGGGCGGGCACCTGCGCAGCCACAGTGACACCCCCTCGTGGTGCCGGTGCGCCTGTCACGCACACTGTGCTCCTTGGAGTGCGAAGTGCAACTCACGCCTGACAGTGCCCACTGCAGCCGCCACTGCCTGCGGCTCCTTCAGCTGCTTCCTGGTCGCTTCTGTCAGTGCCACGCCGGGGCCACTGCTGCCCGGCAGCCCCGGCACTCAGCACACCCACACACGGGGGAGAAGGGTCTTTGGTCTGTTCTTTTGGACCCCTGGGTGGGATAAAATGTGTTCACCGCTGACAGGCGGATACAGGTGGGCAAAGCAGTCCTTCCCCTGGGATCCAGACTCCCTGGCCGGCTTGGCTTCCACCGCAGGACTCCCGTGGGGCACCCCGAGGCTGTGGCAGGGGTGGGCGGGAAGCCCGGATGCCCCTTGTCAGGCTGGCGATCCATGCCACCCCGGTCCTGCTCAGCGGGGGTGGCCGGCCAGGGGTAGGAGGACAGGGCAGATTCACTGGGCCCCTCCCCGCCCAGCAAACCCTCACATCTCAACTGGGTCCTGCTCATTGTTAAACACAAACCATGATTTTCCCTTCTCTTACTGAAATCCTTTCAGATTGTGCTAGGAAATTATTGAAATTAAACCAAAAAACCCCAAAGACATAGGAATGCAGGGGTTAGGCCCTCAGAGCCTCCAACATGAAAACCGCCTGTGCTAGGCTGTCGGTCTGGCAGCCAGAGCTGGTCAGCCAGCGCATGGCTCGGCCTCCCAGGGCTCAGAGGCCGTCCCTGGCATCGCAGGGGAGATGGGCAGCAAGGCTTTGTTAAAATGCTCGCCCAACTGAGGCACCTTCTTACACCTCCTGCTTCTCAAAGTGAGTCCCTGGTGTGTGGGCAGTGCCTGGGGTGGGCTGGGAATGCAGAGTCTCAGGCCCACCCCGAACATGCCGAAGACGAACTGCTCTTACACGGGGCCTCCCCCCGCCTGCCACCAGGGGAAGGAGGACGTACCGAGGACCAAGAAGCCCTGCTCTGACGCACTGGGAAGGGCTGACACCCAGGTCCCTTCTCAGTGCACAGGTGAGACAACACGCGGGACTCTCTACACCCAAGCAGCTACCCAGAAACCCCAGGAGCCCCGGAGATGGCCCCTGGGTCTGGGCACGCTAGGGATGCCCTGATGCGCCTCTTGCTGGAAGGTGCACCCTCCTCCCCAGGCGGGACGCACATGCCCCGTGACAGACATGGACTGACTATTCTGACGCTTCCCCAGAAGTCACGGCCTGTTGAACCTGATCTGGGAAAAGGGAGATGAACACACAACTACAGGACACACACAGACACAAAAGAAAACCATGACTTTAGAAGAGGCCGATCTACAGGTTTCGGTGGTGCCCACAGGCTGTGGAGCAGCGTGGGGGCTTGCTGCTCTCTGCTGACCCCAACCACGCTTCTGGACGCTTCTTGGATGCAGAGCGGCTGTGGTAAGTGTCGTACCTACTTGATCTAGTTTCCTTTTCAAAGAATCCTACAGGTGGGCATCACGGATCCCGCTTCACAGACGGGGACACTTGAGGTCTGGACAGTCGACAGTGTCTTGTCCCCAGTGCACAACGGGGAGAGGGCAGAGCCAGGATTCCAACCCAAGACCCTTGTGCTACATCCTGCCTCTGGGTAAGAATTTGCTTCCCCCTCACCAAAGGAAGCTAGTGTCAGATGACAACTCCTGTGGGCCACAGGGCCCAGGTGTGAGGAGCAGGAGGGCAGGAAACTCCCAGAGACAATGCAGGAGGCCCGAGCACATCTGAACCTGGAGAAGAGGGGCAGCGAGTCTTGGAGGAGGGGATGGCTTGTGTGTGTGTGTCCAGGGGAGGGAGCAAAGCCCAGGGAGAGGCGGAGGTCTGTGGGCGAGCTGTCAGAAAGCAAGTCCCGCGCCTTCCGCGGCCCCCCAGCGGGGCTGCCCGAGGACCCCTCCCTCCTTGCATGCATGCAGGCCATGCGTGGCACACGGGAAAGCTCGGTGGACAGCAGCCCGAGCTCACCGGGCGCTCCGCCAGCGCCGGCTGCCGACACGGTGTGCACCATCCCCCTACAGCACCGCGTCTCAGCGACCCCGCTTCACTTATTACCAAAACAGCACAGAGCTCCAGTTGCAGTCACACGCAGGGCTTAACACAGACCTCGCACCTGCGGGGAGGGCTGAGTGTTTGAGCAATCGAATGTCGGGACTCGTCAACACCCCAAACCATTATCACTCTGTACTCCAAAAATAAGCTTTGAGAGCTTTGGAAACTGAATTAAAATGTCTACACAGCTATGAACAATTGTTTAATAAAACTTTTTCATGTTTCCATTACATGTAAATATATCAATTTGGCATCTCTATAAAAACTCTGAAAATGGTGCAAAAGTTTCATTCTCTTTGAGAAAGCCATTGACAAAAAATATTCACACTTCACTAAAATTTTGAAAAATGGTCTTCTTTCAAAGCTTCTTTATTAATCTGAAATCTTCTGAATTATCAAAATCTAGGTTTGCTTTTTCCTCTTAAAACACTAAAGAACATTTATTCACAAGGATAAAAAGGCAAATGGGGAGATGGAAAACTGAGAAGGGCTCCCCCCCGAAAACTTAAAAAAAAAAAAAAAGCTAGTTACATAAGCATCCTCAAAATAACACAATGGGCTTCGTTTTATTGTTGACTTTTGGACAGCAGTGTCACACTTTATTGAAAACAAACCCATGTAAAAACAAAGTTAAAATGAAAAATGGTATCTGAAAAATAAAGTATCTTATATAAAACAAATCAGTAACTTAAAACACTAATATACAAAATGTCTACCCGCCTACTGTACAACGTGGGGATCGGCCAGGAAAGCTCCCCCCGCCCCCCGCCCCCCCCCAGCGAGCCACTGTAAACAGAACATTGCACGAGAAGAGGTGGTCCTGACCCCGGGACAAGCCTTCTCTTGGCGGGGGGAGAGGGGGAGGTGCGACGCAGCCCTCTCAGCATCACGGCTCAGGCCATCGGCTTGCCTAAGACAGGGCCTGGCAGTGACTTACAAGTGTTTTCTTTTTTAAAAATGACTAAGCAGAAAACTGGACTATGTCACCAAAAGGTTGTGGAAAAGTAGACACTACAATCATCAGAAGTCAGAGGCGCATCAAAAGGTTTAGAACCTTCAACCCTGCGGAAGATCTGGGGCCCGGGCGCTGCCGCCGTCGTCACCAGGGGTCCGTCACCAAGGCCACGCAGCAGAAAGCACTGGTGGCCTCAGGTGTGGCCGGCCTGGGGGGTCTGATGAATGGGAGGGAGAGCGGGGCCCTAGCCCTGGGACGGTGGGAGAAGTGCAGGTGCAGGGCTGGGGCGGGAGCGGGGCAGCTTATTCTCACTCTTTCACCCAACCCAGGAAGGCTGCAAGAAGCAGAGGAAAATACAATGAGGCTGAATTGGATATGAAATAGGACAGCCGGGTAACGCTAACTTTGATTTTCAAGACCGACAGCGGACTCAGGCCCGGCAACGGCCCCCGTGTGGAGGACCCTGGAATAAGGTGGTGCCTGTCACGGTCTCAGGAGATTCCTCTGCTTGTCTGAGCCAGCGGGGCCCTCTCAGCTGCCCGCTTCGAGGGGCCGCTTCCACGGCAGCCTGGCGCAGCACTGGGACCCGGTGCCCCGCACTGACACCTAGGGCACGCTCTCAAAGGTTAAGGCAGCTCTTGGACAAGGGAAAGGCTAACCCTCTGATCAAGGAAGGCGGAGCTCACCCAGCACCATCTGCTGATGAGAGGCACAGCCAGTGCAGAAAATCACAGCCTAGCACATTACAGTGAACACTAAGGGACAGAGCCAAGGGTGAAAAACAGGTAACTGAACTGGAACCAGGTTCACAAGTTCAGAGCTGCTTAGCCTACAACTGTTAGGGTGAGTTACACAGGCCAAGAGAATTCAATCAAAGCCCTGGTATTTATGTACCAAACTAAACTTCTGATAAATTAACTTTACCTACTCTTAATTCCTTTTCACTGAATTCCCAAATAAGAGCACTCATTTTGTGAAATACAAATATGATCGATCCATGCAAAGCTTTTTAAAAGATTTCTTTTAGACTGTGACTTTAAAAAAAGGATTCTCCTTTTGCAAACAAGCTTGGAGGAGATGAAATGAACTTCATGGACACAGAGCAAGGACCCGGCACCCAGGCAGGAGTGTCAACTGCTTTTTAGGAGAAACATGTCAAAAGCAGAATCCTGCCACATACCTGCACATCCAAACTCCCAAGAAACCCACTGGGGTTTTGGCCAGAAGGCGGGGTGACTACGTAATGTGAGAATTCTACTGACCTGAGCAACTTCAGGCAGCTTTCAAAGGCTCACAGCACTTCACATCTCCTTCTCACCTGGGCCAGCATCAGAACCATCAATCGGGTCCAAATGGTGGGAAGGGGTTGGGGGAGGCTGGGGCGCCAGCTGCGAGGCCGCCAGGGACATGGGTCCACAAGGAGGTTGGAGGGTCAGTTTCAGAACTGGGACTCTCACCTCTGAGAGGCTGCTGGCCCACGGTCACACAGCCGGAAAGGCATACTTTCCAGAAAAACATCCCAGTCCTAGGGTGAGGAGCACTCTGGGGCAACAGAGCGGGGACCCTCCTTGTGTTCTGGGCTCTAGGAGGAGGCATGCCAGCTGCCTCTGACTTAGGACCTAGATTGTGCTGGAGGGAGGCGGCCCTCTGTGGCACAGGCCAACTTGTAAGACAAGGCCCCAAGGCATGAACTTGGCCTTTAGTGGGAAAAGAACACGGCACCTTCTCACATGTGGGAAGGATGATGCAGGTGGCTAGCAGCCCTCCACAGGGCATGGGGGTGACAGGGCGGGGACAGACAGCCTTCAACTTATCAAGGGCTTCTCAGAACACCGACCTGCCCCACCCACTTAAATAAATAAATAAATAAATAAATAAATAAACAGACAGACAGACAGACAAATAAATGCTGCTGCAATTCCATGATCTTGATAACTAAAAAACAGCCGATCATTATGTTTTAGTCTCATGTCAAGTTAAAAACTGCTGGTACTAAGTTATCTTGCTTTTTATTCTCTCTGTACACTAGTTATTTATAAAAATCGGATCATGCTCCTTAGGAGTTGCCTGGAGCCCTGGCCCCGGCCACTTCTCAGGCCCTCTCACACTCTCCCGGCTGGCTCCCCGTTGTGAAAAACACCATCTGTGACCGCACATCCCGACATCACAGAGCTGTAAATGCTTTGTCTTGAGGCAAGTATTTGTTTCTTAAGATCTTATACGTCCTCCCTGAATGCTAGGCTGTCTGTGCCTCACCTAGCCAAAAAGAAAGAAAAGGTAAAATAAAAAACAAAACAAAATTTGAGCAAAACAAAATCAAATTTAATGGTCTTAAATGCAAAAGTAAAAACAAAAAACACAAAAAAGCAAAAGAAAATTAACAGAACAGAACAACCCAAAATGTCAAAGCAATTATGAAGAGAACTTTGAGGGTTAATCTTTTAAACTACAAATCAAAGGGGTTTTTTCTGTTAATAGATAATTGGCAAGAAGTAAGTACTTTTCTGCTGAGTGTTCATATGAAAGCAAAGTTTCAAAACAAAATCCGACTAAAACAGAGAAGTCTAGCACTCACGAGAAGGGATGCGAGAAATACAATGCTCAAATGTTTGTGTTATTAAAAATAGAGCTATCTTATGCATTCGAGCTATGGTAAATGCTCTTGGAACCTGGAGAGATGGCTGCGAACGACAACATCCGACGTGTGGGGCACCGTGCATGCAGCGTGTGGGCAGGGGCTCAGGGTGTCCGAGCAGCAACACCTCTTCCGCGTGCCTGGGCTTAGGTCTGACTCGGGAATATATGGAGTTTCCCTGAAACTCTTTGGTCCGTTCCCACTGATGCCTGGCCTTAGGAAACACCGTGTCCTCCCCTGGAGGGTCTGGCCTGGCGAGCGGCCCCCTCCCCGGTGGCAGCCCGCGACAGATGGGCCCAAGGCCAATGCCAGGACCACTCGGCAGAGCCCGGGGCTGAGTGAAGAGGAGGTGGCAATGGGACCTGCTTGGGGAAGCAATTTCGTGTCAACCAAAGCAGGAATCGCTTAAAATGTTGAAGCAGTTGAGAAAACGCACACTCAGCATCTGTCTAACATTTTTAGATTAAAAATGAAAACTCAAAGGCCGTTACTTTGTTTTATCCAGTTTGCGGAGACACCGAGTGAAAGGGGTGTCAGACAGTCTCAGGAGTTAAAGCATGCTTCAGTTTCACCGCATCCCGAGGGACTGGGGGGTCAACGCAGGCGACTCAGATGTCTGTTTAATATATATTTTAAAGGAAATAACTTAAGAAACTTAAAGTTGGTCTACCATTGTGGGATTTCAAACATTTGAACATGTTGGTTGCATCTCAGAGTATAAAAACCTTTTCACTTCTCATTTAGACTAAGACAAACACTTGTGAAAATTGGCGCAAAATGAGTTGTACACTAACAAAAAAGTTTCAACTTCTTCACTCTGAATTATCTATTCCGTACAAAAAAAGCATGAGTGAGTTATTTGTGGGACTTGTTGGTTTTGAAGGAAACCTGTAATATTTTGTCCCCCAGGCGGTAGCCGTTCAGGCTTGCTATGGCCATCGCGGCTTCTTCATAGTTTGTCATGGTCACAAAACCAAAGCCTTTGCACTTGTTGGTGTTGAAGTCGCGAATCACTTTCACATTGGTGACTGCGCCAAAGGGGCCAAACATCTGCCAGAGGATTCCCTCATCAGCATCTTGACCAAGGTTGTAGATGAAGATGCACCAGCCCGAAGACGCGTTGCCTGGGACATTGACACCAGAAAGCCCACTCATGTGATCTACACCCATAGGGGAGAACCTAGCAAACAGAGAGCACAGCATTCAGGTCAAGGTCACGGTCAGTGGGGGCCGGCACGCCAACATCACCGGGGGAGCGGGCCGGGAGCAGCAGGCCCGGCCCAGGCCCTTCCCTCTCTCCTCAGCCAGGACTGGAGTCCCAAGGCTGGCACACCCCCCACGCAGCAACAAGGTTTCTTCTTTGTCACTGCGAGGAATTCAGCATGGTGGCTGAGGGAGGCGGTGGACTCTGAGGAGACACGTGTGGCGTCCGGAGGGTCGGAGCCTCAGCCGACTTCACTCAGCGATGGCCTGTTGGTGGCGGGCCTGCAGCTCCCTTCACCCCTCCCGCAGGGTGGGGGTGTGTGTGGCAGGGGGCTGTTGGTCATTTCCACGCTCCCCAAATTCTAAATGTTGGAAGATTCTCCCCGCCCTCTGAGGTGCTCTTGCACCCTCAGGCTACCTTGGTGGAAATGCTTTCCTCACACTGTGTGTGTGCTGGGGAGGCCTGCATCTTTTTCTTCTTTTTCCAAATTTTGCACCTTCCTTGGGTCATGACCCGCTATCTCCAAGGGCTCACAGCGCAGGGGTTGGTTACACACGCCACTGTGGGGGCCACTGCCGGGGCAGGGGAACTCCTCGCCACAGCTCTTGGCAACTGTGCACGGCTGGTTCCTAACAGCCCGGAAGGGCCGGGGCTGAACTGCAGGCTCATTAAGCTGTACCAAGAATGCGTGGGGCCCTTTCTAAAGTGACACATTCGGTTACATCAAACTAAGCCTTCTACCCACGTGTGGCCATGGCAGTAAAGATTAAAGCAGGTGATAAAATTGTAACTGAAGCCAGGCTGGCCCTCTAGGTGGCTCACAAATTAAAGTCATGGTCTCCGGTCAATTCAAAAAAATGTGAGGGCGCAGCATCGCAAGGCCACACGGCACGAACGGGGCAGCACCGTCTGCTCAAACCTACAGCAGGGCTCCACGCCGCAGGGCTCGCCTAGCGGTAAGCGGGCACCTCCCAGGGCCGTTAAACAGATTCCTGCTCTGACCAGACGTGACCCCAGACAGGGCGACCAGAACCCCGCAGTACAACCAAACCAAGGGTGGCATTCGACACAGGTATGGGGGAACCCAGACACACCGGCTGCCACTGTTTGGCCTGGCGAGTGATCTTACACAGCCGCACCGGGACGCCTGGGCTGGTTAAATGGCTCTGGGGGCTGGCCAGTGACCTCGCGTCTGTCTGGGTGACAGTCAGACCCCAACAGCGCTGAAATGGGGTTCCCACTTCCAAAAGGACCCCTTAAAAGGACCTCATTTCCTCTGAGTTTTGTAGGGTACCAATGTGGGCCCGACTTCCTACAGCTAACCTCTTTATGTAGCTATTATACTGACAATGATTTGAGGTACTATTTTATTGCCTTTAAGTGACATGATTCTCATTCTTAAGAACCACTGTTAATTGGTTTTTCTCCAGTAACTGGAGCTGATTTCTTTCATCCTGAGACTATTTTCTCTGATGGCACAGAAGGATGACTGACCTTCCTTGTCTGGGGCTCCCCCAGTGTGAGAGGAATGGAGGCACTCTCTCCTCTTCTGGGTCTCTCTCTCTTCCTCTTACCTCAGTCTGCCTTCGGCGGGGAGGCTTCCCTCCCGCCTCCCCCGCCCCCCTCCCCCCGCCGCCACATCCTCTGCCTCTCTGTCCTGCTCCTCTGGCCATCGTGACCCTTGCCTGCCTGGCCAACACTCCGGCTCCTCTGGCCTCCCCATTCTTTCCTGCTCCTTGTTGCTGAGACCAAGGCACCCCCCCCTCCTCCAGCCGCCCCTGATTTTCCAGAGCGACCAACCTCGCCCAACAGGCAGCGAGGTGGGTTATGCTCTCTGACATCCACACGGATCCACCTCCAGGCTGCCTTCTGCCTATGGGCATCCCCTGCCTTTGTCCCCTAACGGGCTCTAGACCCCGACAGAGCCAAGAGCTCTGGCTTAACGGGCGGTGAAAACAAAACCTCACTAAACAGCATCTGTGGAAACGGGCAGGGCTGCACCTAACTTCACTGCTTGAAACAAAGATGGGGAACCTGCCAAGCTGCAGAGAAAAACTCTTAACATACCTGAGTAAGCCTTGATGCCATTTCTCGAGGTTTTGACAAAAATGGAACAAAATGGCCCCTAAGTGGAGATGCCGTGACTGGTGAGGGGCAATACACCCGATTTTGGAGGCCAGGTTACTTGCTCAAACCACCCCTGTCTCACTAGGTCCTGGCAACTGGAATCATTTTCGATATGGAAAGACTGTGGGACGTAGGAAAACTGTTCACTTCTATGACAGGGCTTCTAAACAGAGGGCGTATAGTGTTTAGGCGCCAAAATTTCTTCACGAGGCAGGTGGGTGAGAAAGGGCTGTCTTAGGGCTGATGATCAAGTGTCTAAAGCCCGTTTAGAAACTCTGGAAGGAAAACAGCTCTCGCTCAGCAACCCGAAGGCCGCCTCTCTTGCTCACAGAGGAGGAATGATCTTTCACACTCATGGCTCCACCCTCGTGCCGCTAGCGCTATCGCCTGCTCTCCCAGTAGCTGCTGGGAGCGGGCACCACCTGGTTGATTCCAATTACAGACAACACTCGGTTGGAAAGACAAGGCTTTCATACAGATACCTTTATGATGGAGACATGAAGTGATTCTGAGCGCAGCCTTCCGATGCGATTAGTCGGACGGGCCCAGTGCTTCCCCCTGCATGCGGCTACCCAGCCAGTGCGGCCCTAAGAGCTTTCCGAGCACTGGGCCGCGGTGGGAAGAGGCTGGCAGGGAGCTGACAGCACGGCCCTCCTGACCCACCTGAATCTCTGTGCCTGGTGGTGCACAGGGCCTCCGAACCGTCTAGCTGGCGAGTGGTACAGCTGGGAGAGCAGGGCCATATTTTTGTTCTGGTTGGGGTTGGCCGCGAACTTCACTGTAATGGGCTCGGAGGAACCTGGGGGTTTATGACCATTGAAACTGGTAATTGCCTCTTCTGCTTCCGAACGTTTGTCAAACCGGATAAACGCAACCCCTCTGGACAAACCTTTTTAACAAACCAACAAAAATGGAGTTAGGGCGAAAAATGCAAGGATATTTTTAAAACTGAAAAGCAAAAGTCAAGTCAGTCAGTCTACTGTGGTTCAAAATGGATGTCTGGTTAATGAGATTAACAAAAATTAAACCTAAATATGGAAACAAATGAACAAATCAAAAAAAAGGACTAATAAAAGATTAAGGTTTCAAACTTTCTTCTGAGTTTCTTGGTGCCAAAAGATACTTTGAGGACAGACACCCCAGAGAGACAGCTACAAAGGAGGACTCGCGCCCCCGGCCCCGCCACTACTCAGAACCAGTGCCCACTGCAGTGGGGAGCCCAGAAGCGCCGGGGTGAGGAGCGCTGCCTGGGCTCGGGCCCAGGGCCCTGCTGCCCTGCCACACTGCCCTGCCCACGCGCCCAAGCCGCTGCCGTGCCTCTGGGGGCCGGCTGTGAAGTCGCGAACAAGGGGCAACCTGGCCTCACTGCCCTTCCAGCAGCTGGCAGAGTCCCTGGTTGTGTGGTGCCCAGCTCGTCCTTCACCATCGCCCTCGAGAGGCGTGGAGGGCCAGGAACCAGCCCTCACCCGGACAGCCCATTCCTGCTGCCACCACCTCCCTCACCCCTGTAAGGCCCTGTCACCTCCTGGGCTCCAAACTGCCCTCAGAATTAAGGGAGGCCACACCCTCTCTCTCCTTAAACTGACCAGGTACACGCAGCAGTGCTGGCAGCCCCGCAGGCCCCCTGGCAGGTTGGGAGTTACTGCCTTAGGCCCACTTCACGGCCGGTCCTGCTCCCGCATGGGGAGGGCCAGGGACCCCCGCTGGGACTCCCACCTGCCTCGGGAGGGTGCCTGCCCTCGCTTCCGCTGGCCAAGCAGGAACGCGCGCCCAGGACCAGGCTGCCTGAGACCCAAGGCCCAGCTGCGAAAGGCGTCTGGTCAGCTGGCGTGGGCGTGAGACCCGAGCAAACCAGCGGGGAGGGCCCCGCTGCCCACGCCTCCTGGTCCATCCCCATTCTGGGTCTGGGGGGGCGATGAGCAGACCCTGGCCCTTGAAGAACTCAAGGAGCGGGGTGGAGCTGGGGTGAGGGACTTCTGAGCCACAGAAGAGCCTGGCTCCTTCTCCTGAGGAGAAGAAATGGGGGCCAAACGTGAAGGTCCAAGTGTAGTGGAGAGGTGACAGCGAGGGCCAGTCTGAGGGTGACGTCACTGGGCTGGAGTCCTGGGTGTCACTGGTGGGTGGCTGCGGTTGACAGCCCTATCCTAGACACTCATCTTGCCTGCTTCACCGGCTGTCCTAAGTCATGCTTTCTTCTGTAGACAAAGGCCTTCTGCACATGGAGGATGACACTGAGGAAAGCAGGACAGCCCTGGCGGGCGCGGCTCACTCGCTCAGGCACTGTCCTGCACACCGAAATGCCGCAGGTCTGACTCCCAGTCAGGGCACGTGCCTGGACTGGGAGCCGGGTCCTGGCTGGGGTGGCACGAGAGGCAGCTGATGGATGTCTCGCTCGCGCACCAGTGCTTCTTTTCCTCTCATTCTCCCTCCCTTCCCCTCTCTCTAGAATCAGTAAGAAAATAAATAAAACAAAAAAAAACCCATTCTGCTCCCACATTCCAGCACCTGTCCTTACCATTCCTCCTGGGGTCCCACCAACTGCCCCCAGAATGGGCACTACGCATGGGGCATGGGTCTCCCCGACTGGTCTGGAGACCATGCAGGGGCACAGAGAGGCTCAGGGACAGCGATCGGGTGGGGTGCTGAGATGACAAGTGTCACTGCAAGACACGGCGGACCCCTCCGGGCCTGGAATCCCACGTTCGGGCCTGACCTGGATGAGGCGCCGTGGGCGCCCATGAAACGGGCAGTGGACAGTCAGGGGCCCTGTGCCGAGTTTCTTTGCTGACAACTGCAACCTGTGGTGGACGTCCCGTGTGGAGGCCCAGAGCACACGCTAGCGCCGTAACGGGGAAGCGTCCCCGCCCCCAGCACTTCACGCGCCAAGGTCACCCAGCAGCTCCGGCCGCCCCGGCAGTGGCTCCATAGCTCTTTAAACGGAAATTTAACACAGACATACCCACCCAGTGGATTAGTGAGGTCAAGTCAGGCAACTCACATGCGTGCCCCAGGAAATTCTAGAACTTGAGCTTAGTTTTCAATTTTAATTCAAAAAAACACCTAGAAATGCTGTTTATATGTGTTCTTAAAGGGCATGAAAAACAGCTTAGACAGATGGAAACCTGAACAAAATCTCACTGTAGGCAAACGATGCTGAAGGCTGGAGCTGGCTGGCTCCTGTGGGGAGACAGCTCATTCTATTTATACAGACTCCTGATCAGGCGGAGAGAGTGTGTGTGCAAGTGGGGTGTTCCTGTTCGGTTTTGCAAAGTGACTTTCAAATGAAAACTTAGGGAGTGCAATGGACAAAACTATTATTTTTTTTAACAAAGAGAGAGAAAGAAAATGTTATTTAAAGAAAATAAAAATAAAAACAAAAAAATGTTAGTTAACACAAGGGAGCATTAATTCACATATTGGGTGAATGTACGTATACTTTTCAAGATAGCTCTGTGGCTTCTTCCCTTTTCGTGGGTTTTTTAAAAACTTTATTTATTTATTTTGAGACAGAGGGGAAAGGAGGGAGAAAGAGAGGGAAACGTTGACGTCAGACACACATTTATAGGCTGCCGCTCTGAAGAGCCTCTGACTGGGACCGAACCCACAAGCCCGGGCACGCGCCCGGACTGGGAACTGCTCTGCGGGACGACGCCCGACCAACTGAGCCTCGTGGGTCAGAGCCCACTAGTGCTTTTCAGAATTAAGAGCAGAGACCAATAAATGGCACAGTCTCCAGAGGAGTAAACTATAAAGTTCACAGTTAAAGTGAATGAAGCAGCAAAGAAATTAAAAAAACCAAGTTCTGCCAGCTCAGGCTGTGCAGGCCCCTGAGTGCCCCCCGCCCTCGCCCCTGAAGAGCATGCCTGTGAAGGCGGGGCTGCCGGCCGCTCTCGCCCAGGCCTCCCCGGGCTCCAGGGGCACCGGCAGAGCGGCCCCAGGGGGCGGCCTCTCCAGAGCAGGGGGAAGACGAGGAGCCTACAGCTCTAGGGGGCTCACCTTTCTCCTTTCTAATTCTAGCCCCAGGCCAGGAAGCAGGAATGGGGGAGGGAGCCTCTCTTCCCTCCCTTCCCGTCCTTTTCGAGGGTTCCAGGATGGAGAAAGGTGTGGGGTGCGGACTCCCGTCCCTTTACTGAAGGCAGAGGCTGGCAGGGAGGCCTGAGGGAGAGGGAGGGTCCAGGACACCCCCGGGGTCACAGCTGAGCTGGGGGCAGCCCTGGGGTGCTCCTAACGCTCTAGGAGAGAAGTCTTGCAGAGAGAAAGGAAGCAAAAGCCTCACAAATGGCTGAGGGAGCTGTCTACAGAAGTGACACAAAAACTGGTGGCCAGGGGCGTCTCCTCGAGGTGGCCGGGCCCCAGCCCCAGAGAGCAAGGCCACTCTCAGCAGCACTGGACGGCCCGCTCCTACTCCTACACAGGTGGGGCTGGGGACCAACCCGTGCACCGACCCGCCGATGGGACTGCTCTCTCTCAAGGGGGGCTTTAGGAACCAAAGGAAACTCGTCTGGGGCCGGCCGGCCGGCGGGGGCGGGCATCCCCAGTGAACTGTGTCCCGCCTCCAGCCCACCCCCTACACTAGAGAGGAGGGGAAGAAGAAAGCAGGCAGCCAGGGCGGGGCAGGGCCCCTATCCCGCCAGCACACCCTGCTGCTCGCACAGGCGTCCGCCACACGTCCGGGGTGCCCAGGGCTCCCATGAAACGCCAGTGACCTGAGCCTGTGGACCATACACCACAAGCCACTCCTCCTCAGGCCCCTGGGGGACTCCAACTGTCCACTCCTCTCAAGGCCAGGCCTCAACAGGCACCAATCTCAGCTCCCACAGCCAGGGCTGGAAAAGGGAGAACAGGGGCAAGGCTGCCTGTCCCGAAGCACAGAGCACCGGGGGGGGCCGAGGGCGGGGGCGCACGGGAGGGGGGCGGGGGGGCGGGAATGTGGAAAACTGTGTGTGCCCCCACCCACTGCCTCTCCAGGGTCTACTCTGCAAAGGGGGGCTCACCTCAGAGGTATGACTTCCTGTAACCTAACTATCCAATATTATTATTATTATTATTATTATTATTTTTAAAGCCTCACCTGAGGATGTGTTTATTAATTTTTTAGAGCGAGAGGCAGGGGGAAGAGGGGAAAGAGATGAGAGAAATATCCATGTGAGAGAAAAACATCGATCAGTTGCCTCCCGTGCACGCCCCAACTAGGGATGGAACCCTCAACCTTCTGGGGCACAGGACAATGCTCCAGCTACCTGAGGCACCCAGCCAGGGCCCAACATTAATTTTAATACCACAGACAAGGGGGTGGTGAGTACTCTGTGTTGGAGGAAGATAAAAATCAAATGCAGACAATTCTACCAGCTTCTCTGAGCTCTGTGAACAAGAAGCTTCCTTTCGGGTTTGTTAGCAGAGTCCTGCTCCCTGCTCCCCGCTCCCCGCACGGAGGCCCGGAACTGGATTCCTGCCTACCCGGCCCCCCGCCCCCCGCCCAGGGCTGCTCCCCAGGGGGTGTGCGGAGCCTCAGCTCGGTTGTGCCCGACTGCTTCATGCACAGCCCAGAGCCCAGGCGGCTGACTTCCTGACCTGAGAGGGGCCGGGATGATCGGCAAGAGGAAGTCACCACCTTTGAGCTCTGGGTGGGGCATCTAAGTGAGAAACGGTCATCCTGGTAGCTTCGGGGGAATAAAAAGAACTGGACCGGGAGGTAAGACTGGCACATGGCACACCACGTCCTGCAGTAAGAAGAGGCCCAAACCCTGAACCCCCTTCGCAGACCAGGCCAGGCCATCGGGTGTCTGAGGGAACGTGTGTCTCGGTGCCAGGACGCCTTGGCGTTTTCACCATAAAATGCCAGCCTGATGCGGGGACTCTTTCAGGCCTCTTTCTCATCAAACAAAGGCCAATGTCATCTCACTTCAATTCTGTCTTCGCTGGTAGAACAACTAACAACATTTAAATTCAAACATGATTGGTCTTCCCTAGAAAACTCGGCCCTAGGCCTGGAGGAACACCTCACCGCGCATCCCCGGCCACAGCTGTACCTGTCGTCTGGTCCACAAGGACCCGGGAGTTGATGATCCGCCCGAACCGAGAGAACATGTCCTCCACATCCTTCTGGGTCATGTTCCTGGGGAGCCCGCTGATGTACAAGTTGGCATCTTTGATGACCTCTGAGCTCGGGCGAGCATATGACACCTTGAAAACAAAACCGCTTTCTGGGGTTAGGGCAGGTATGTGGCCAAGGCATTGAGGGAGGGTATTAAATCTGGGGGTGAGAAAAAGCCAACCTATGGTGGGAGAACACACAAACATGCGTCACCTGTGGCAGCATTTGCTGGCAGGTGCCCGTGGGCCAGGCAACGAGGTGAGAGCCGGCAGTGTTTTCTCACCTGGCCCTTGTGTCTCCACAAGAACAGTGTTCCTATCTTACGAAGCAAGTGACTGAGGGCCCACAGCTGGTTGGCGGCAGGGCAGGGACCCAACTCTGCTACCTGTCCTCCTACCGAGGTCTTATGCTTCTCTGGATGATGGGCTGGGCTGGCAACAAGACCTGCCTGTAAGGAGCCCCGGGGTGGTGGGCAAGAGAGCTGGGTGCTGCTGGCAGCGGGACACCCATTTGCCAACAGGCAAGCTCGCCGCGGGAGCCCAGGTGGGGCCCATGGGTGTTAGGGGAGCCCTGAGTGCCACACTGAACTCTTCAATATTAAATGACTCCAGGCCTTTGTGTTTTGCAAACCTGAAAAGAGCCTAAAAGGAACTTCTGTAGTGGCTTAGATGAGATGGTATGTGTGTGCACTAGAGGTGACGAGGGGTGGCTGCAGGGGCTGATGGGAAGAAAATGATTTTGGTGCTTTCTTCAAAGAAAAGGCCTTTGAAGAAAAAGCAAAAGCAGTGTAGACCCTGCACGCCAGGAGGGATAGGTCCAAGGTCCCACTCCTGCTGGGGAAGGGCAGCTGGGAAGAAGCCCTTCTGCCCATAAAAGGACAATCTGGGGAAGTGGGACTCGGTCACATCCAGTGGGGTCAGAACCAAGTGAGGAGGCTGGGAGATGGAAGGGGAGGAAATGGAACCGTGTGCTCCAGAAGGTGGGGACTGTGCGGAACTTTCTCTCTGACGGTCACAAAACCAATGTGATGAGTGGCCTGAGACCCTAACGTAGGGGCAAACATGGCCTCTTGGTGTCACTGGGCAGAACGAGGGCACAACCACAGGTGCCTGCCACAATGCGCAGGCCTGCCAGGCAGGGCAGGGGTGCGCCGAGAAAACGCACATGGCCCTGCGAGGGCACGGAATCTGTCTGCTTTGTTCAGTGTCTGGAACGCAGCGGGTGCTCAGTAAGCGTGTGCTCAGTAAGCGTGTGCTAAGTGACCGCTGCCTACAGGGGCCGCGAGGGGCGAGAGGGGCGAGGCAGCGGAGCCACTGCAGTGAGCCGGAGCGGCAGGGCCAGGGCCTGGGGCTGCACGAGGGTGGGGGCGTCGCAGCCGGACGTGGGACAGGCGGGGCAAGGGGGCTGCCCCTGTGTATATGTCCTTCAAGGGGACCCTCCCTGTACTGGCGGGGCTGAGGAAGCCATAAGCCACAGCATGAGGCCTGGGACAGTCTCCGCTCAACACACACCTGACAGGCAAGGCCTCAACCCCGAGACAGGAGGCTCCCCAGGTGCCCCGGAAGCACCAGGCTGCGGAGGTGCGGCTGGGGCCCTTGACAGTGAGGGTGAGGCGAGAAGGGCTCGGCCCGGGCACCAGCCCAGGGCAGGGAGAAGTGAGGCGGGGCGGGCTGCGCTTTACCTTAATGGTTTTGGACTGGAGCCGCAGGCCGTTCAGCGTGTTCACTGCTCTCTCCGCGTCCTTTGCGGTCACGTAGTTCACGAAGCCGTAGCCCAGGCTGTGTCCTGCGGGGAACACGGACGCAATGGTAAACCAACGGGGGCGCGAGCGGGAGCACGAGCAGGGCCATGCCCTCCTGCCTCCGGCCGGGCTCAGGGGAGCACCGTCAGAGACGAGCAAGACGCGAGAAAACACACGGGCAGCCAGAGCCAGGGCCTGCAGGGAGTGGAGCTACAGATCAGTGGCTACAGTCTGTATTAATGGTTTATTTGTTACACTTCTGGGACAAACTTGTACATTTTTGGCAAAAAATAAACGTTACTTTTGTAATAAAAAGTTATTTAAAAAGAAACATTGTGCTACTGACTGCATCCTGGGGAACCAATCACCAAAGCAACAACAATGACGCCCACTGGAGACGGCCATTCAGTGGGGCTCTGAGGGCGCCTGGGTCTGCGCAGGGGAGGAGGGCGGTCACCAGTGGAAGAGCAGAGCAGCATTTCCCACCACCTCCCTCCCCAGTGCGGGGGAGCCTGCGGGGCCCGGCCACCCTGCATCAGCTCCTCTCACCTTCCCCATCCTGCGCCGGGTGGGGGGCCCAAGGAGAGGACGGCACCAAGAGGGGCGGCAGCCCCGGCACCGCCTCCACAGCCCCGCCACGCCGGCAGGCTCCCCTCGGCAGCGGCCCCACTGTGATGCATCATCAGCTGAAGTCTGGGGAAGTCACGGGCTGCAAAAACCCGAGTTCTCACCAAACAAATCCCAGGTTACAAGCATCATGTCCCCACCCCTTCTTTGTGAAACTTTCAGAACTGGGAGCGACCCACTGGATACCCACAGGGGACTGAGCATAGTAGGTCAGAGAGGAGCAAAGGCTGAGGGTCAGAGGGGGAAGGAGCCCTGCACTTTCTCTGCAGGGGAGGAGCCAGGAGGAGGCGCAGAGAGCCACCAACACGACCACAACGGACCCAAGCACACGCCACGCAAGGGGCACTGACCACAAACAGGGCACTGCCCTGGGCAGAAACAGAGCTGTGTGGAAGACCAAGACCCACGCCCTGCCGCCGAGCTTTGCTCACTTCCCCCCATTGGCAGAAGGTTACAATGAGCAAGTAAAAACTACAGCCAGGCCAAGCCACAGCGAGGCTGAGCTCCTCATGGCAGCTGTGCCGGCTCCGCCCACGGTGCTGGGGGAACCCAGCAGACAGCCTCACTCAGTTTTGCCACTTAAAATAAAAATTTATTTTTTTAGATTTAAAGAAAAATTACAGATATAATAATGAGAGTTCCCATATATCCCATGCTCAGTTTCCCATGAGTGACAAGTCATACTAGAATGGACGGAATGCTTGTCACAAGTGATGAACCAGCAGAGGCACGCTGTTACTGACTGCAGCCCACACCTGGTTTCCATTGCCTTAGCTTTTCTGTCCCGGATGCCACCCCGGATCCCGCTAACATTTGGCCATCGCGTCTCCTCAGGCTCCCCCTGGGCTGGACTGTCTCTCAGACCCTTCTGCCTGTGACGCCCGGGAGGGCTCTCGGGAGGGCGGCTCAGGGAGGCTGCGGAGCCCCCGCTCCTGGGTCCGGCAGGCGTTGTTCCTCTTACTGAGGTGGGGCGATGGGTTTGAGGGGAGCCAGAGCGCAGTGCCCGTCCCATGACCTCACATCAGGGTGCAGGCTTTCCGCGCGACTGAAGATGCCGTTGGCCTTGGTCCCCTGGCCGAGGCAGGCGGTCCGGCAGGTCTCCTCTCCATCGCACGGCCGCCCCTGCCCTCCTAGGTAAGCTTCGGGAGGGAGTCACTGCGCGGCTCACGCTCAGGGAGTGCTCTGTGGAATTCCATGCTCCCTCCTTCAGCGAAGGGTAGCTATTTAAATTATTTGTATGGCCACTTTCTTTTGTTTAAAGAAACAAGAACAAAACCTGACCCTCCAGACCCATATTTTTCTAAACCTCATGGGTCTCAAAGACTCAGCTCCTGAGCCTGGACAGCAAGGGCCCTGGAGAGCAGGTCTGTGGGGCTCTGGCCTATCCAGCAGGAGAGTCATACTGGCAGCTCAGAAAACTTCTGTTGGCTCCAGGTCAGGGACTTAGGGTCCTTGCAAACAGTCCAGACCACAAGTGTGAGAGCTGAGAATGCGGAGAAGGCCTGCGGTATGAGCTCCCAGCCAAGCTTCAGCCTGACTGGGATTTTTACCCCCAAACAGCTGCTCTTCAACCCCATTCTGACCATCTGTCACTGCGGCCAAGCCGAGAAGCCCGTCCTCTCTGGACCAGCCTGGGACAGGCTCATCTGTCTCTCTGATCAGCACCACCTGCCCGTGGGTCTCCTTGTCTTTCTGCTCCACCCACAAGGTCAACCCCACCCTGGAGCGCCTGCCTTCTTCCTTACTGCTGCCTCAGGTGGCCTAAGCACTGCTGGGGAAACCAGGCCCTGATGAAGACTCACCCAGACTCTGTTCCTGTGTCTTTAGCTGCGGGTGGCTCCTCTTGGCATAGAAACACGGGCCCAGCCCCACCCCAGTGCCCAGTGGCCTAGCGTGGCTCCCCAGAGTGGTCAATGCTGACTGCCAGCACCTTCAGCAAGGCCACCCATGACACTTGGGTGCTGCCCCACTGAAAGTTTCAGGACATCGCTTCCTGAGCTCTCACCTCCCCCAGGGTCTGACAACAACGCCAGGTTTTCTTTCTCTCCAGCTGTCCTTTAAATCCGTTCCCTTCCCGTTTCATTGAGATGGTCCCCGAGGTTCTGCCTTTGGTCCTTTTCTCCATCAGAGTCGTCCTGGGTGACCTGACTACCTGTGTGCCCGCATGTGCCAATGTTACCTGGGAAGTCACACACCCTCAGACGGCCGCTGCCTACCTTCCCCGGTCCTGCCCCCGACTCCAGTTCTCAACGAGTCCACCCGTACTAACTGTCCATCTAGTGGGTGTCATATCCCAGGCCAGCCTGGCTGGGCGGTTTGAAGACGATCACAGAAGAGTTTTTACCTTAGTGAAACTCACAACCCAGCGGGCAAGGCAGACAACAAACCAGCAAGGCAGGAAGGAACAAAACGACCACACAGGTGCTACGGGGAGACTCTTGTGGTGAGAGGCCGGCAGGATGGGTCCTCAGTAGACAGGGTGGCCAGGAGCACCCTTGGAGGAGGTGGTATCTAAAGCAACACCTCGGGGTGGCAAGCATTCCAGGCCCAAGAGCAAGTGCCAAGTCTCTGAGGTGATGACGGTGGGTGTGTCCCAGGAAACAGGGGAAAGGGCCAGAGGTGGCCGCTGGGTAGAGAGCAGAGTGGGTCAAAGCAGGCGGAGCCCCGTGGGAAGTCTGAGCCTGAGCGGGTCCGAGACAAGGGCAGTGAGCTCCAGGGAAGGGCAGCGGCAGGAGGGAGAAGACCTGCAGGCGGGCTGATGCAGGAGGGAGCTCTGGGGGCCTAGCATGCCAGACAGCAGCTCCCCTGCCAGCTCTCCCAGACGGGGCTGAGCCTTCTGGGGCCGGCTGGGGACAGACGTCTGCGTACTCCCATCCCCAGGGCTGGCTCTGTCCTCCCAATCTGTTCTCCCCTTGTGGTGGGCAGCTGAGTGCAGCAGGAAGAAAGGTGGGGGAGGAACAAAGGGGGGCCCCTGGTTTTCACCCACTTGATGAGGCCGTAGACCAGAGCACTTAATATGGTGCTGAGCACCCACTTCCACCCTTTCCTTCACCATAATCCAAGTACTTTCGTCTTTGGCTGCCCATTATAATCACCAGGGAAGCTTCTAAAAGTGACCACCACCCAGGCAACACCCCAGACCAGTGAAACTGAAGCAGGGGTGGAGTGGAGCAGGAGCGCGGGCGGCTTCTGTGGTTCTGAAAGCTCCCTCGGATCCCAACATGCCCAGGGGGCAGCTGACGCTGAAAGTGCAGGTGGGGGGCCCCAGAGAGCAGAGGTCCCCACGGTTATCCAGAGGAGTCCCAGGTGCCCCCGAGTTACTCTTTCTCTAATAGGGTCCACAGCCATGCAGGTAATGATGCAGTTCCCCAGAATCCTCCAGCGCCTGGGGGCGCGGAGCCAGGCAGGCAGGGCAGTCGACACCCCTGCGCTCCTTACAGATGGTTCTCGTGCCCTCTAGAGGCAGTGAGCCGGCTAGACTCAGTGCCATGAAGGCAGGTCAGGGGCTGCCCATTCCCCGTTTAGGGCGATGGAAGACCGGCCCCAAATGACAGAAGCCTGCGGTCTGGCTGGGGAGCGTGGGTGCTCCCTGGCCCAGCTGGGGCAGGGCCAGCATTCTGCAGGGGAGATACTGGGGTGGGGGGTAAGAGGAGGGAAAGAAACAGAAGAGGGACAAGGGACAGGGACAGAGCATAAGCAAGCCCTGAGTCTAAGGTCAAGGGACGTCCTAGAGGCTGGCCCTACCCCCAGCTCTCACTTTTCTCACATTGGAAAAGTAGGGAAAGCGCCACCATTGCCATTCTGGCCACAGGCCCAGGGCTCCTCAGTTCTGATTCTCTGATCAGCCCTGGCCCCAGAACTGCCCTCCCTTCAGAAGAGTTAAATGTCAGTTGTTCAAACACACCGGACAGCCAATTCCCAGGGTATGGCTGCTGGGCGCTACCGCTGGTCCGGATCCGGCACTCTGAGAGCCGCTGCCTGGAGAAAAGCGAGCCTGCCCCGCCTCCTTGTGGGTCCCTGCGCTGGGCACCCACCCTGTCTGCGCACCCACCCTGTCGGGCGACGCTTCTCCACACCCAAACAGACTTCCTCTCTTAGGGCAGGAGTTAAAACCGACAGGTGATTCCACAGCCCTTCAGCTCCCATCTGCAGACCAGAGTAGCCAGATGGACTGTTCTAACCCCTTAGTGCTCCTCGGGCTGGCCCAGGGTGCACGGCCGAGGCAGGCGCCCGCCCTGCCGCACGGGCGGGTGGGCGCAGTCAGGCTCCTTCTCTAGAGGTCCGAGGGGCACAAGGGGAGGCTTGACTGAGGGAGAGAGGCTGGGTCTTGGGGGGAGGGGGGGAATGTGTGAACTAATCAGGCAATAAATGAGAAACAAATACCCACAAAAGAAAGAAAATGGGTAAAGGATCAGAA